AAAAATTAATAAATTTGTGCATAGCATGCTGAAACCAACCAAAAATCAAAATATTTGACTTTTAAAAATATTTTTATGTATAAATTTAAATAAATTTCAACTCCTGAAACACACTAACCTCTACTCACACTTTAGCTTTATTCTGATGAAATTTTCTCTTCTCTGCCCATCTAAGTATTGGTATGAATCTTACCTCTCTTGCTCCAGCCTTTATACCCCACTATATTGTCCACAGGGGAATTAAAATCTTGTGATTCTCTCCAACTACATCAATGCTCCCTGTTATTACTTCCTATTCACTTTTCTCGGTGGCAGAACATTATGACAATGGTTTTACACACTTGCTGTGGGTTTCTCTTGCTTTAGTTATAACTTTACTTTGGATAATATTTTTAGACCCGTATTATTGGATTTTGAGGTTATTATCTATTTTCTTAAATTTCAGTAAAAAAAAGTCTGAGACATTTCGAATATAAATATTCACATTCACATCTCTGATACAAAGACTTTTAGTGCTCCTAATCTGCCACATCTGGAGTCTAGCACTGTCTGGGTGTTGAGGTGGCCCCCTTTCTGTGGAGAACATCCAATCTGTCATATACAGAGAGGTGGTTTTACATGAGGTCTGCTGTTTCTTCTTCTGTAGGCTCAGAGGCTCAGCTTGTGGAGGATGAGGGATAGACTGGTTAGAATTGGACTCTAATTTTCCAGTTCCTTCATTTGCTCAGATAGCTAATCATGAGCCTTGGAAAGACATTTTGTCTTCTACATTTTTTTTTTTTGCAACTAGTACATCAAGTTTGTAATGTCTTGAGATTTTTACTGTGGCTTATGATTTTTCTCCTTATTTGTAAGGGGAAAGTCATTCAGCTGATTACCTAGTATTTCCACCTTCACCCGAAATTGCTGTGCATGCTTAGAGATTTGTGGATCAATTGAGTAAGGCTGCTGCTATGACTTGTCCACCCCATTTTTTGGATAAGCATGTCTTAGCTTTCCATCGCTTGGAGGACCTATATTTACATTCTCAGAGGTTGGATCATCTTCTTCTTCTTTGGGGTTCTATGCCTGATGCTTTTAATCATCTTAACCTCACTTAGTTTTCCAGGATTCGACTGTCCCTTACAACAGTTTTGTGTTTTTTATTTTCTTTGCAACTGTTGTTTGAGGCCTTTCACAGGCCTTCTGCTCAATTTTTAGAGGATCATTTATTGACTTCTATTTTGGTAAGGTTGTCAGCTACTGCTCTTTCCTTGGTGTTTTGGTTGGTTTGTTGCTGGGATATTTTGGAGAGAGATGCCTTGCTTGATGGCATTTGACTTCCTTCTTTGGCTCTCGGAGGTGTCAGAGAAGTTCCTTTTCTCAGACATTCAATTTTTGCAGCTATTACAGATTTCATGGAATCTCAGGAGGATGTGGCCCATTTCCACTATTTTCTTTAGACATTGGCCTCTCACCTTTCCCACTCTTCTAACTGACGATTTACTACATCTCCCATTCAGGTTTCCAGACATCCTGTGTCAGCTCCATGGGCATAGCATGAATAGTTTATTCTGTAGCTTTGTGTTTAATAACAAAAAATAACTCTTTGTGCTATTACTGGGTGATCTTTTGCAGGAACATTAATGCTCAAAGATGTTTTATTGTTTTGTTTTTCACTTATTTTATATGTGTTTTATGTACTGAACTAACTTCTTATGTGTAATATATATTACACTATTTGAATGATATTACTTTTTGCATTTTAACTTTATAGTTTCAATAAGATTTAAAATTTTTTTAAAGAGAACCTCAAATTCTATATGGTATTGATACCAGCAGTGCAATAGAACATAAGATCAGGTGAATTATGCAGTCAAGTATATAGGAATTATCATTTTATCTATTTCCTTGTATTAAAAGTAACATCAGAAATTAAGTGGCTTTTATGCAACTGGCTCTTATATGTTTCCAAACAGATACAAGCAAGGTCAACTTGTTTCTCCTTTGCTATAATACAAGAAATTAAAGTAACAGGACTGAAAGAAGCTGTTGTAAATGTTTATAATAAAAATGACAAAGGTACGATTTAGTCTATTTTTATAGTTAAGAATTTAATCTGAGTACACTTTTTGTTTACATGATTTCTGCCTGTTATTTTCTGTTGTTTATCTAGTCGATGAATAGATCTACAAAATAGTTATGCTACTTTAGAGCTTCAAGATTATGTATAAAATAAAGTAGTTGTTTATTCTGTAATCATATGATTTGTAGAAGACTCAGAAAAAATCTGTTTTTAAAAACTATGAAGTGCTTTTTCTTTAATCACAATAACACATTTTGATAAATAATGTATTATGTTACATAAAATTTAAGTCATGAAATTGAAGTAATAAATGTGTTTAATGTTCGCACTTGTGTCTTTAATGTGTAGGCTTTGAAATAATTCACAATTTTTACTTTAGATTACATTAAAACATTTTGAAAAAACACTAAATGTGCTGTATTTGTAATTAAATTTTGTGATAAGTTTAATTGTGTAATTTTGTTTTCTCACAGATAAAAATAATTACAGTTTTTTCAAGTTGTACTTAAAAATGAAATATAAGAGTGGAAATCCATGCCAAAATTAACTTAATTCATCAAGTAAATTATATGATATGCACTTGTACCCTTAGCATTTACACTTTATTTAGTAGACACTTTTATTGAATTAAAATTAATTATTTATTGGAGTGAAAAGGCAAAAAGTCTTGTAATACACCATCTTTTTGCACTACTTTAGAGCATTTCTCAGGCACTAAAAACTGTAAGAGTGTTTCAGTACCTAGAGCAGAGATTCAACAAATAGTTTTTTGATTATCTTCATTGTACAAAACATACAACAAAAAGTTTATTGAGATAAATGTATTATAAAAGATAAAAAGTGCCTGAAACATATATGAATATTAAATTTTAAGCATCTATACATATCTAAGCCAAGTAAATGTCCAGGTGTTCCTGTTAGTTGTCCAATTTGCCAGAGTTCCTTCCACAGTAGCATCTATTACAAATTGAACTATTTCAAGTATGGTAGGTTGTTTTTATACTTTTGCATTTGTATGCAGATTTTATTTTCACATATAAATATATTAAACTTTGAGTCCCCCAGTGGCACAGTGGTATGTCTGTGGACTTACAACGCTAGAAACCGGGTTTCAATACCCGTGGTGGGCAGAGCACAGATATCCCATTGTGTAGCTTTGTACTTAATTACAAACAGACTTAAACTTTTATGAAAGATAAATTATATAATAAGCTTATTCTTAAACTGGTCTATGTAAAAATTCAACTTATTAGTAGTAAAATGTGCTTTTGAACTGTTTTCTAAACATCACAGACTGCTTTTCAACCAAAAATGTGCGATTTATACAATTATTAGTTTATCATCCATAAAACTGACTAATCAGAAATGGCTTATTATATTATCTGAAATATGATGCATATTGAGCCACATTTCTCACTGACATTTGAAAGAGAATTAACAGACCAAAATATTTTACATCATCTTGATTTTTAGCTACTGTAATCACTAATGTTGTGAACTTTCTCACTTGAATGTATTTAACTTATCAACATTTATATGATTTTTAAACCTAACTTTTGGTTGATATTCTTCCATATGTGATAGAGCCATTGGTGGCAAAATAATTCCTCATACAATACTTGATATGTATTTTTTCTTTCTTGACATGTCATATAAGATACACAGTGAAATCTGTCTAACATGAAAATTCATGGGACTATAAATATTACTCAAGTTTTTGCTGCAAACAGTAAGTGATCTGTTCTTACTGAACCAAATAAATTGTTATATTTAGACAGCAATTTTTTTTCAAGGAAACTCATTCCTTTGATAGTACTGAACAGACTGAACATTATTCATGTTTTTTTCTACAATTAATTTACTTACATTTTATGGCAGTTGCCTTAGTCTTTAGAAAAACAAAACATAAGCCTTTCAGTGGCTCAACAGTAAGTCTAAAGACTTATAACACTAAAACCAAGGTTCAATACTCGTGGTGGTCATAGTACAGAGAGCCCATTGTTTAGCTTTGTTCTTAACAACAAACAAACAAAAAATAAGTGGCTTATACATAAATACATTAAACATATAATTTGAGGACAACAAGGGACCAGTTGGTCCAACTAAGTCTTATCTCATACACGAAACTGTAAAATGAAAATAAAGCACTCAAAAAAAGCCATTATCATTCAATTATTTATCAAGCACTTAAACTCCCTTGAATTAACTGCATCAGAAGGCAAAATATTTCAACCACCCAGTTACAAAAATAAAGTTGTTGTAGCTGAAGATGACATGTCCTCTGCCAAAATTTATATCTTTTTCCTCTAGTCTTAACCTTCTCACCATTAGATATGGAAAAAGATGATGCATCAACACTATCAATCCCTTAACAATCTTAAATGCGTCAATTAGGTCTCCTCTAAATCTTCCTTTTTAAAGAGAAAACTTTTAACTTCAGAAGTCATAATTTATCCTTCTATGGCAACATTTCCATCCAAGTACTATCCTACTATCCCTCTTCTAAACTCTGTCCAACAGTTCAGTATCCTCTCTGACGTAATGAGCCCAAGACTGAACATAATACTCCAAATGTAGCCAAAATAATGACTTATACAATGACATTATAACTTCTTTAGACTTGTATTCAATATCTTACATAACACTGTTAACCCTCTGTGCCCAGGCATCATTTATTGTGCATGTCATGAGGTTTTAGTGATTTATATTCAAAATTTGATTAAATTACTTTTTGTTTATGTTATATTAATTAGCATAGCATAGCATCATAGCTAATAATCTATATTTTAATAGTATATACGTTTTAAGTTCTTAATTTTATAAAGCAATATTTCTCTTCTCTGTTTTATTCACCACCTCTGTTTCAACCAGTGCTCTAAAGTCATCCTTTTATTTCTTACTCTTCCAGCATTATGATAATAACAGTTTAGCCTACTGTAAAGACTATCATTGTACCTTGTTTCCATGCTATAATCCTCTCTACATTTATTGTTTCTTCATTATTTTGGCCCTTACCACTCTCTAGATTTAGTTTAAAGCTGCACTTATAGTTGAGTTAATAGCTCTTACAAAGTAGGCCCTACTTATAACAAGTTTTGTTACTTAACTCTGTAAGAAGGTAATTTAATTGTTGTACTAGGCTTTTGTAATCTTGTTAACATCATATTACTCAAAGCTTTAAACTTTTTCTCATTATGTTTAATGTTGTTGTTACTAGAGGGCTAGATATTTCTAGATTTTTCTTTTGCGTATTATAAATATGTGCAGATCCAGGGTGCAAGTGGAGTTAAACTGTGTGTCAGTTTAGCCATAACAGATGATTTCTAAAGTGAGTTTCACAGCTTGTATTGTAATAACAGAGATATAGGAGAATAATTTGTTTCTCAAAGGATGTTCTAAAGTAATTGAACCCACCTGTGTGGACTTTGATGAAAAATAGACAATTACTTAAAGCTCTGGATTAAACTGTGATAACCAATAATGTAACGAATTTTTGTACATGCGTTTGATTTGTTTTGAATATATATTATTTTAAAACAAGTGGATTGTGTGCTGTCCATTTATTGTTGAATTTTATCACTAGCAAATCACATACACCTACTGTAAATAATCCTGGCCCTATAAAACCTAACCATCTCCACAATTAAGTTTTTGCAATATCCCTGAAAGAAATAAGTTATTATGGCCCTTTTATCTAAATGCCTTTATCAACCCCTTGTACTTATTTATCTCCTCTGGCCTACCCTTCCATGCATCATCAGCCCCTATGTGCACAACAAAGGCTCAGTCACCCTTTGAAATATCACTTGCTCTGTCAATTTTATTCTCCACCCCTTCTCCCATATTGAAAATTCCAGTTGATGCTGGTTTACAAGTAACCAGCAGTTGTTAGGAATTGGAACAAATATTGCTGGTTCTCCTAGCAGTTGCTTGTTGAATTCCTAATCCTCCTAGCAATTGCTGGTTCTTCCAGGAGTTCCTAGTTGCATAACTGGTTCAGCTTGTTACTTGTTAACCCAATGGGTTCATTTATCAGTCTGTGCTTTTTCATGTTCATTGTCATTCATGTTTATCTTTGTAACATATGTAGAATATTTGGTTTATATTAGATGAAAGAAAAATGCTACAGTGAATCAAAAAATACTATCAGAATATATTTTTTTAACATTTTACACAGTTGTCACAGCATAGCTACAGAATTTGTACATAATTTATATAGGATTAAAGAAGAAGCAATACCTTTTGTGTTTTACATTTTTGAGGGGTTAAAGTTTTCTGTAAACTGCCTATAGTGGGATAAGTCCTTTCCTCAAGGCTTTTCTCTATGAGTACAAGACTGTTATAGCCAAATCTTTAAGCAGAGAATTCTTCTGATGTCTTTGAATGTGACTTTACCTTCTTTTCTCCATCCGTACATCACTTCCATTGTTTATGTGGTTTTAAGAAAGCCAAGCAGTGTAAAATGTGTATGTACATAAAGATATATATATATATATTATTCTTTTCCTGGTACTAAAAGCAATGAACGTTTCAAAAGCCTTAGAAAAATACCTATACCTTGGTTGCCAAATTATATATAAATAAGTATGATATTTTAAATTAATGTTTGATAATTATTTGTAAAAATTAAAACCCAACAATTGCTAACAAAAACAATTGAAAATAAGTATTATATATAAACTTTTTATATTATATAAATATTTTTATTTATAAAATTATAAATTAAGTATTCCAATCTCACATATGAAATCTGTGTGATGGCACCTTCATACAATTTTATGATTATGTTAGAAGTATTCAGTCATAAAAATATATTACAGTTTTATATATAACACTAGTAAAATTGTCAGCAGGAAGGAAACTGTGGCTATATTATAAAATGGTGAATCTCTTGAAGAATAGTATTCTCTGAAATCAGTCTTACCCCACTGAAATGTTTAAGATGAAAGAACAACCAAGAACTCATCTGACACTTTTGCTAAATTTTACTTGCCTTGTATCAAGTAAGAAAATATAGAATTCAAAGTAGAGTAACTGCTGCTTTTCTTCAGATACCTGTCAAAGAAATTAGAACAGATCTTCTAATTAGTGTATATACACTAAAAAACACCAATTGCAGTAGTGGTAGTTTTCCCATTGATAGATATTCACAATTGTTTCAATTTTAAGTATAGTGCAAGTGTTCATTTTTTTTTTATAAGCAGTAGTTTATCACAGATTTGTTTACGTAACTGTATATGAATTACATGTTGTGTAGTTGAATTGTGTATTATTGAATTATGTTACAAGAAGCTTCTATGTTTTTCTCATTGTTTTAATTGAGTATTAGGCCTAGCATGGCCATGTGGTTAGGGCATTTGACTCGCAATCTGGTGGTTGTGGGTTCGAATCATTATCTTACCAAACATGCTCTCCCTTTCAGCCTTGGGAGCATTATAATGTGATGGTCAA